GAAATATTCTGTCACGAGCGATTGGACAGATAACGCCGGAAACTATAGTCGCCAAGATGTGCGAAAGCGAAGAGAACTGGAGAGCAGTAGCCGGTTTTATCGGAGACATTCTGCGCTTGAAGAAATTAGACCTTGATGCAAGGGTATAAAAAGGGCAGGCTGGACGCAGACCATCAGACGGGCTCTGGGGATCGCCTCTCCTTGGGTGCCAATGGATATCTTCTACGGTATATATTGGCATTTAAGTAGAGGCGAGCCTTAGAGCTTTGTATGAGTAGATGAACGCGCATCGCGCGCAAGAGGCCCCACTTTGAAGTAATGCGGAAGCTTTTCCGAAGTGGATACAGGCCTGATGAGGAGGGGTTTTTAGTGGGTGCAAGCCCCACATACCACACATACGACGGTAGTGTGAGATGCAGAAGGCATTTTCCCCCCTCAGCCCAAAAAAAAAAAAAAAAAAAAAAAAAAAATTATTATTATTATTATTATTATAATTATTATTATTATTATTATTATTATTATTATTATTATTATTATTATTATTATTATTATTATTATTATTATTGATTATTATTGAACGCAAAAAAAGGCAGAGATAAAGAATGAAATGATGGCTTTCAAATGGTAACTAACAAAAAACGGAAAAAAGAGGCAAAATCGGATGAACGAAATATAAAAAGAGACGTTAATGGTGAAAAGAGAGATAAACCTAGGACAAAATTAAGATCTCGACCAGATGCTGTGCTAGTAAGGCTAACTGAAGGAAAGAGCTATGCACAGGTTCTGAGGGACCTACGAATTAGCGTGAAACCAGAAAAAAGATGTCAGCAATATCCTGTCGATAAGAAAAACAAGATCAGGTGACATGCTCCTAGAACTGTCCAGAGGAAGCAAAGCCGAATTATTATGCGAGACTATCAAGACCACGCTCAAGGGTGATGCAACGGTTAGGACCATGAAACAGCAAACCAAACTGGAAATTCGAGATATTGATAGTATTACAGAGGAAAGCGAGATCATTTCCGCAATTAAAACCGGGATAGGAGATACTACCGAAGAAATCAGAATTAATCTGACTGGAGTAAATAGCTCGGAGCAACGACGAGCCTTCGTTACCTTAGCGACAGAAGATGCAGCGAAAATACTGAAGGACCGAAGAATCAGGATTGGCTGGACCCTGTGTCGAGTAAAAGAATGCATCGACACTATGCGATGCTTCAAATGCTTTAGAGGGGGACACACGCAAAGGGACTGTAAGGGGCCAGATCGAAGAAACCTATGTATCAGATGCGGAGAGGCTGGGCACAAAATAAAAGAATGCAAAAACCCAGTAAGATGTTGTATTTGCGCAGAGGAAAAAAGGAAAGAGTTAAACCACCTTCCGGGGACAAACAAATGTCATAGCGGCGCAAGTAAAAGCAGAGAATGAAAGTCCTACAAGCAAATATGCACAGAAGCAGAACGGCCAATGATCTGCTGCTCCAAATAGCATTGGAGCATCATGTAGATCTAGCCATTATCAGCGAACAATACAAAACTCGGGAGGACGGTCTGTGGATAGAAGATGAGACGAAAACCGCGGCTTTATGGATCCCAGTATTCAGCACCATTACACACCATACCCCCATTAGACGGAATTGTTACGTATCAGCACAAGTTGCGGACTGGACCATTATTAGCTGCTACCTAACACCCTCCGATGACATTACGACTTTCCAAAGAAAACTCGAAGATATCGAAGATGCTGCCAAGCAAGCTCAGGGAAAAGTCCTATTAGCAGGTGACTTTAACTCAAGAGCGGAAGAATGGGGCATGTCATCAACCAACTCCAGAGGCAGAAAAATTCTAAACATGGCGGCAAGGCTGGGAATGGTAGTTGCAAACATAGGATCAACCGCTACATTTAGACGACCAGGAAATGAAGGAACAATCCCGGACATAACGCTAGTGACGGAAGAAATGGCAAACAAGGTTGCCGAATGGAAAGTATTAGAGATCTTTAACGGAAGCGATCACGAGTATATATCCTACAAGCTGACACAAGGCGATCAAAATCGTTCTGAAAATCGCCTTAGCCTAGGAAAAAAGGGATGGAACGTAAATAGACTGAGCAAAACAACTCTCATCAACGAAATTGATAGAAAAGCTAATACTATACGGCAAAACGACGAGAATATAGTCAACGACACTATGTCAATTATAAAAAAAGCGTGCAACGCCGCAATGCCAAAACGGGGAAACCCACACAGGCAAGGTCAAGAAGCATACTGGTGGACAAATGAAATAAAAATCTTAAGAGAGAAATGCCTTAAAACTAGACGCCGCTTCACCCGAGCAAGATGTAGAGGAATATTTACTACCCAGGAGCAGGAGTACAAAAAAGCTAAAAAGGATCTTAATATTGCTATCCGGAAATCCAAGATCAATAAATGGAAGTGCCTTTGCAATGATGTCAACTCTGACCCATGGGGACTAGGCTACAAAATCGTCATGAAGAAACTTAGGTCCCGGAGACCCTTGCCGGATCTACAGGTAGATCAGATGGACAATATCGTCAGAACACTCTTCCCTACTCATGAGATTAGGCCGTCGAGAAGAACGGTGTCCGACCTTGAAGAACGAGTAGACATGTTTACATTGGAAGAACTTGTCAGAGCAACAAAAAAGCTTAAAAAGTAGGAAAGCCCCGGGACCCGATAACATACCTGCGGAGGTCCTGCAAGCAATTGCAGAGAGGCGACCTAATCTTCTACTCGATATGTTTAATGCTTGCATCCGAACGGGACTATTTCCCGAGCAATGGAAACTGCAACGGCTGGTTCTGATAAGCAAGGGCAAAGGAGATCCCTTATCGCCATCAGCATATCGACCATTATGTATGTTAAATACTACAGGAAAGCTCCTAGAAAAGATGATCAAACCTCGTCTAGCAGCAGCAGTTAACAGAGCCGGAGGACTCTCTCCTATGCAGTTCGGTTTTAGACCAGGGAGGTCCACAATAGGGGCAATTCAAAAGGTATATTACGAAGCACTACGAAGTCAACAAGGAAATCACTACTCGAGACCTATAGTACTCTTAGCAACACTGGATGTCAAAAACGCTTTTAACAGCGTTAAATGGGAAAATATTACAGACGCACTAGAACAGAAATTCAAAATCGGTGGATACCTCTTGAAAATATTACAAAGCTACCTCGAAAACAGAAAGCTACTGTACCAAACAAAGGCAGGCGAGAAATGTGTAAAGGTAACATCAGGAGCAGCGCAAGGATCAATACTGGGACCCGAGCTATGGAATATTAGCTACGACGAAATACTGCGCATAGAAATGCCGGAAGACACGACCTTAGTAGGATACGCAGACGATATAGTTGCAGTTATCTCGGCTCGTAACCCCGAAAACATACAGCGTAAGCTAAACCAGGTGATGCGCCGGGTGAAAGGATGGATGGACAATAACGGTTTGCAGCTGGCCACGGAAAAAACCGAGTTGTTGCTAGTAACAACGAAGCAGTTTCCACTAGAAATAGATATGAGAGTAGGAGAAAATATCATTAGGACGCAGAAAGTGATAAAATATCTAGGAGTTCGTCTTGAGCCCAAACTGACGTTTAAGGCTCAAATTCAGCACGCTAAAAGCCGAGCGACCGACACTGCAAAATCACTTAGCAGACTCATGGCAAACATAGGTGGACCAATCCAGTCGAAACGCAAACTCCTAATGGAAGTGAACCACGCAATCCTGCTTTATGGATGTGAGGTTTGGGCTAACACCCTACGCGTAAAGTGCAGACTTAAACCCTTGCTCGAAGTTCAAAGGACAATAGCATTGAGGATAATCAGCGCCTATAGAACGGTATCAGGATCAGCAGCTCTAGTCACTGCGGGTGTAATACCGATCGATCTCTTAGCAAGAGAACGCCAAAAAGTCTACCAGCTAAAACAAAGTGGAGTAGCGACAAGACAAACAAAAGAGCTGTGCAGAGAAGAGACCCTGAACTTGTGGCAAAATAGGTGGGAGCATGAATGCTCGGGAAAATGGACAGCTAGGCTTATACCCAATCTCAAGGGGTGGACAAAAAGGAAACACGGAAACGTTGATTACTACCTAACTCAAATGCTGACCGGCCACGGCTATTTCCGGGCCTTTTTGCACACTATCGCGAAAAGCTCACAAGCTACGTGCATTTATGAAGACGCCGAGAGGGACAGTGTAGAACACACTATATTCCATTGTGAGCGGTTTCGATCAGAACGCACCGGACTAACGGATGCCATTGGAGAAATATCGCCTGAAAACATAGTTGATCGAATGATAAGCAGTGAGGCGGCCTGGAATCACGTAAAAGCCTATGTTGGAACGATCTTAAGGTCAAAGAAAAACGATCTTGATAGACGAGAAACGGACGCGTCGTAGAGCTTTGCATTGAGACGAGAGCGCATGTCGCGCAGGAGGCCCCACTTCGAAGTAGCCAAGATGTGCGAAAGCGAAGAGAACTGGAGAGCAGTAGCCGCTTTTATCGGAGACATTCTGCGCTTGAAGAAATTAGACCTTGATGCAAGGGTATAAAAAGGGCAGGCTGGACGCAGACCATCAGACGGGCTCTGGGGATCGCCTCTCCTTGGGTGCCAATGGATATTTTCTACGGTATATATTGGCATTTAAGTAGAGGCGAGCCTTAGAGCTTTGTATGAGTAGATGAACGCGCATCGCGCGCAAGAGGCCCCACTTTGAAGTAATGCGGAAGCTTTTCCGAAGTGGATACAGGCCTGATGAGGAGGGGTTTTTAGTGGGTGCAAGCCCCACATACCACACATACGACGGTAGTGTGAGATGCAGAAGGCATTTTCCCCCCGCCCAAAAAAAAAAAAAAAAAAAAAGCAAAATTTTTTTATTTAATTTATTATTATTATTATTATTATTATTATTATTATTATTATTATTATTATTATTATTATTATTATTATTATTATTATTATGGGACCGGGAGCTGTTTCTGCATGGCAAAGTGTCTGGTTGGCTTTAACATGGCAAAGCCCAGCATGATCCATGCAGAACTGCTTCAAGTATCTCACCGCCTCCACGTGGCGGTCCCGGGATCTTGTATCTCTGTCAACCGACAGGGTACTTGCTAAGGTGAGAAGGCGGCTTTTAAATCCCGTTCGCGTCTGTTCCCGAAGAGGGCGGCGTCTGGGTTAGCGTCTGTCCCATATTGGGCGGCTACATAATTGTCTTTTTGCAGATCGGCAGACACTAAAGAAGGTCCCCCGCTGATGACAGCGGCATTCCAACACCTGAGTACCCAGATTGAAACCCTGGTTAAATGGCTGCTGGGCTAATGCTGAAGTTACCTCCGTCCTTTTAAAACTTGGCGAGTCTTTAAATACGTTCTAATCACATCATCGCGGAACCGATGGTACAGGTGCAGTTGAGACAACTCCTGCTTAACATCCGTCCTGGCTCTGAACGCAGGTACCCATAAGGACCTGCGTCAACCCTCGCATGAACCTCACTGCTTGCATAGGGACCCATGGGGGCATCGTGGAGGACTGTACATATGTGAGGAGATAGCGACTTAAAGTTTGGACCCATATAGCATGCAGAACAATAGAAAACCCCAAGAAGAAGAGAGAGGAGCATTCCAGAAGAGTAGAAAAATGATGAGGTCGCCAGATCAAGGCGTTACAGAAGAAGGAAAGTCGGCGCAAGTGGTTCATCTGGAGGAACAACCAAACCCATCTACGGCAATACTGCACGAGGATCAGCAAACCCCTGCTTCGACCCAAGATGTCAGACCTGCGGTAGGTTCCCCAAGACAAGAGCTCATCTATAAAATGAGAGCACTAGAAGAGGAAACGATCGAGAAATGCAGAGCAGTGCTTCGAAAAATGAAGCATGCGATGCTAAAGCAGCGAAACATCAGTATGGATGTGAAAGACGGAGCGTCAGAACTGAGCGAACTCCTTGATATTCTCGGAAACTACAGGAAAAGCTGGTTGACAGCCGAAACAGAGAGAGTCAAGGAAACGAACTTAGCGGCTGAAGCCAACAAACAGCTGCAGGAAACTGACACACCAGTTTCGTCCCGCAAAAAGCGGACTGCTTCTAGCCCGGCCGAGCCAGAGGCATTTAAAAAGCCGAAAAGTAAGGAAGCGAAGGACGGCTTTAAAACAGTGACTCGGAAGAAGGGAAAACCCAAAACATCTCAAACAGAGGAAACGAACAAAGCTGTTAATGTTAACCCTGAGAGGAAAGGAGAAAACTCTAAAGTACGGTCAAGATCCCGCCCAGAAGCTGTTTTGGTCAAGCCCGCAGAAGGCAGGAGCTACGCCGAGGTATTGAGGGAACTTAGGGAAAACTTGAAGCCTGACGAGACCGATACAGCCATCCGCTCAGTCAGGAAAACCAAGTCAGGGGATTTGCTTCTCGAGTTAGCAAAAGGAAGTAAGTCTGAGAAGCTTTGCGAAAGCATTAAGCACACGCTCAAAGAAAATGCCACAGTGAGGACTATCAGGCCGTTGAGCAAGTTGGAGATACGAGACCTAGACAGTCTGACAAACGAGGAGGAAGTCATAACTGCAATCAAGTTCATTATAGGCGAGCAGAGTCAGGAAGTCAAAGTGAGACTAACTGGCGCAAACAATTCTGAGCAAAAACGTGCATTCGTTATATTGCCAACAGAAGAAGCAGCTAAAATTCTTAAGGAGCCAAGAATCAAGATTGGATGGACGCGATGCCGAGTGAAACGGTGCATCGAAGTTACACGCTGCTTCAGATGCTTTGGGGTAGGCCACCTACAAAGGGATTGCTCGGGACCAGACAGGAGAGATCTCTGTATTAGGTGTGGAGAGACGGGGCACAAGATGAGAAACTGCACGAAGACACCGAAATGTTGCCTGTGTGCATATGAAAACCGCACGGATCTCAATCATTTCCCTGGGACGAGTAACTGCGCAGCCAGTACCCGCAAAACCCAAATATGAAAATCCTACAAGCAAACCTTCACAGAAGCCGTATAGCAGATGACCTGCTGTCCCAAATAGTACTGGAACATTGCGTGGATTTGGTTATAATCTGCGAACAATATAGAGTGAAACAACCCGGTATCTGGCTGGAAAATGAAGATAAGACTGCAGCTATATGGATCCCAGCTACGGGTGACATACGATGTCTCGGCGATGGCAGAGGTAGCTGCTACGTATATGTACAACTTAAGGAATTCACCATATTCAGTTGTTATCTAACCCCGAACGATACAATAGAAGCTTTCCAACATAAAATCGATGACATTGAAGACATAGCTCGGCAAATGCATGGAAGCCTTATAGTAGCTGGTGACTTCAACTCTAGAGCAGAAGAATGGGGCATGCCAACAACCAACAGCAGAGGCCGAAAAATTCTTAATATGTCAGCAAGAGTTGGACTGGTAGTCGCTAACGTGGGCAGAGCTCCGACGTTTCAGCGAATGGGCCAAACAGGCACAATACCGGATATAACGCTAGTGTCAGAGAACTCTGCGCACAGAATATTAGACTGGAAAGTCTTAGACATCTACAATGGAAGCGACCACGAGTACATATCTTTCAGTACTGAAGGAAGTTCGGCTCATCATGTAGGAAATCAAATAAGAACTAGTCACCGATGGAATGTTAACCGACTAAACCAGAACCGCTTAATAGGAGAAATTGACAGGAGTCAAATCGATAGCAATGAGAGAACTAGCGTGGAGAGCGTTGTTAGCAGCACTATGTCCACCATAAAAAGAGCTTGTGATGCTTCTATGCCAAAGTCTGGCAATCCCCACAGGAGAGGAGCAGAGGTGTACTGGTGGACAGACGAGATAAGTGCTTTAAGGGAGACTAGCCTCCGCTATAGGCGTCATCTCACACGAGCTAGGAGAAGCGGAAACTTCGCTACACAGGAGGAGGAGTACAAGAAGGCGAAAAAGCTTCTTAATATTGCCATTCGCATAAGTAAACGAAATAAATGGAAATCCCTCTGTAATGACGTTAACAAGGACCCATGGGGTCTTGGGTACAAACTCGTTATGAAGAAGCTTAGGTCAAGAAGTACTCTGCCAGATATAGACGAAGGGCACATGGACAACATTGTCAAAACTCTGTTTCCGCCTCATCCGATCAGACCAGCTTACACTGCACTGCAGCCGTCTGAGGAACACTTCGAGTTGTTCAGCGAGGATGAATTAACTAAGGCAATAGGCAGCATGAAGAATAGGAAAGCACCAGGACCCGACGATATACCGACCGAAGTTCTCAAAGTCATCGCAAAGAACAGACCCGATGTACTATTAAATATGTACAACAAGTGCCTGCAGCATGGAATATTCCCCGATCCGTGGAAGACTCAGAGGTTGGTCTTGATAAGCAAAGGAAAGGGGGACCCTGCAACCCCATCAGCCTATCGACCGCTCTGCATGCTAAACACGACTGGGAAGCTACTGGAAAAGCTGATCAAGCCCCGACTAGTTGCTGCTGTCGAGGTATCAGGCGGCCTCTCCCGCAGGCAATACGGGTTCCGACCAGGGAGGTCCACAATCGGAGCAATACAGGAAGTCGTTAATGCAGCACTGGCCAGCCAAGTGGGCAACCATGCATCCAGACCCATTGTGCTTTTGGCGACACTAGACGTCAAAAATGCGTTTAATAGTGTCAGGTGGTCGGACATGATCGATTCGCTAAACAGACGTTTCCACATCCCAGAATACCTGATGCGGCTAATAGACAGCTATCTACAGAATCGAAAACTGATTTATCTGACAAGAGGAGGCGAAAAACGGATGGACATCACCTCGGGTGCAGCTCAAGGATCCATACTAGGACCGGAACTGTGGAATATCAGTTATGACGATATCCTCAGCACAGAAATGCCTGACGACGCATTTCTCGTGGGATATGCGGATGACATAGTCGCAGTGATTCCAGCACGCAATATTGAGTACGCCCAACGAATTCTAAATCAAGTAATGATCCGTGTAAACGAATGGATGGACTCTCGTGGCTTACAGCTGGCCTCAGAAAAAACTGAGCTGTTGCTAGTCACCAGAAAGCAGATGCCACTAGAAATAGAATTAAGGCTCACTGAGACAACTATTCGGACACAGAAGTCAATAAAGTACCTTGGGGTCAGGCTGGACTCTAAACTGACCTTCGGACCTCAAATTAATAACGCTAGAACCAAGGCTGCAGAGACAACAAAATCTCTTAGTAGACTTATGGCAAACATCGGTGGACCAATACCATCTAGACGAAAGCTGTTGATGAATACAAACAACTCCATTCTTCTTTATGGATGTGAAGTGTGGGCTGATTCGTTAAAAACAAATTGCAGACTGAAGACTTTGTTGGCTATACAAAGAACCTCAGCCTTACGTATAATTAGCGCATATCGCACGGTGTCGTGTGCTGCAGCACTCGTCTTAGCATGCGTGATCCCGATAGACCTGCTAGCGAAAGAACGCAAGAGCCTCTACGACCTCCGACAAACTGGAGAAGCATCTAGACAATCGATTCTGGCCCTAAGAAGAGAGACCATCAATATCTGGCAAGAAAGATGGGAACGCGAAGGCACTGGAAGATGGACAAGAAGACTTATCCCCGACCTTAAAAGCTGGGTGGAGAGACGACACGGTGATGTAGACTACTACGTCACCCAAGTGCTCACAGGTCACGGTTATTTTAGTTTCTTTCTAAACAAGATGGGCAAAAGCACGGAAGCCAGTTGTATTTACGCTGATGCGGAAGCCGACAACGCAGAACACACAGTGTTCTATTGTACCAAATTCGCGCAGCAACGAAATATTCTGTCACGAGCGATTGGACAGATAACGCCGGAAACTATAGTCGCCAAGATGTGCGAAAGCGAAGAGAACTGGAGAGCAGTAGCCGGTTTTATCGGAGACATTCTGCGCTTGAAGAAATTAGACCTTGATGCAAGGGTATAAAAAGGGCAGGCTGGACGCAGACCATCAGACGGGCTCTGGGGATCGCCTCTCCTTGGGTGCCAATGGATATCTTCTACGGTATATATTGGCATTTAAGTAGAGGCGAGCCTTAGAGCTTTGTATGAGTAGATGAACGCGCATCGCGCGCAAGAGGCCCCACTTTGAAGTAATGCGGAAGCTTTTCCGAAGTGGATACAGGCCTGATGAGGAGGGGTTTTTAGTGGGTGCAAGCCCCACATACCACACATACGACGGTAGTGTGAGATGCAGAAGGCATTTTCCCCCTCAGCCCAAAAAAAAAAAAAAAAAAAATTATATTATTATTATTATTATTATTATTATTATTATTATTATTATCCCCGCAGGGGCACCCACAACCGGGTGACGGGCTTGACATACCCGCGGTCCCCCAGTCACGGCAAGACACAGGAACGATAAATTGACTTACGATTATGCACACAAAAGACGATTTGATGATATCGGGCTTGACGAATGCAGCATTCTGACACCTTAGTACGCAAGAGTGACATTTTGGAGAAACGGCTATCGGGATAATGTTACGTTCGCCTCCGTCCAGTTAAAACTTAGCAAGTCTCTCCGTACGTTCAAATCACATCGCCGTTGACTCGGCGGTACAGGTGCAGTTGAAATGATTCCTGCTTCGCGTCTGTCCTGGCTCTGAACACAACCGCCCATGAAGCTTTGTGTCAACCCTCGCATGGACCTCACTGCTTGCATAGGGACCCATGGGGACATTTTGGACAACTGTACATAGGTGAGGAGATAGCGGCGTAGAGTTTGGACCCACTTATGCAAGATGACAACCCAATTAACACCAAACAATATGGAAGAAGCTTTCCGGAAGAGCAACTTGATGGGTAGGTCACCCCAAGGAAACACGACCATTGAAAGGAAGGAAAATAATGAACTTGCTGAACAGAACACTCCGAAAAAAGGAAAGGATTCCGAAGCACCACAGCAGATTGACCTTCAAACTCCTGCTACACACAGGAAAGAGACAGCACCGACAACACAGCGAAGCTCCCCGCGACAGGAACTAATATACAAGATGAGAACATTAGAGGAAGAATCTCTGACCAAGTGCAAGGCAATAATAAGGAAGATGAAGCATGCGATGCAAAAACAAAGAAATATCAGCATGGAAGTTAAGGACGGTACAGCTGAACTCACGGAGCTTCTCGATGTAATAGAAAGCTACAGAGCGAGCTGGAAGAAAGCTGAAATCGAAAAACTAAATGACATGAGTAAGGCAATACCGAAGGCCTTGAAGATAGTCGATACCCCGCTATCGTCAACCCAAAAGAGAGCAGCTACCAGCCCAGCATTACAGAACGCAAGCAAAAAAGGCAGAGATAAAGAATCAAATGATGGCTTTCAAATGGTAACTAACAAAAAAACGGAAAAAAGAGGCAAAATCGGATGAACGAAATATAAAAAGAGACGTTAATGGTGAAAAGAGAGATAAACCTAGGACAAAATTAAGATCTCGACCAGATGCTGTGCTAGTAAGGCTAACTGAAGGAAAGAGCTATGCACAGGTTCTGAGGGACCTACGAATTAGCGTGAAACCAGAAAAAGATGTCAGCAATATCCTGTCGATAAGAAAAACAAGATCAGGTGACATGCTCCTAGAACTGTCCAGAGGAAGCAAAGCCGAATTATTATGCGAGACTATCAAGACCACGCTCAAGGGTGATGCAACGGTTAGGACCATGAAACAGCAAACCAAACTGGAAATTCGAGATATTGATAGTATTACAGAGGAAAGCGAGATCATTTCCGCAATTAAAACCGGGATAGGAGATACTACCGAAGAAATCAGAATTAATCTGACTGGAGTAAATAGCTCGGAGCAACGACGAGCCTTCGTTACCTTAGCGACAGAAGATGCAGCGAAAATACTGAAGGACCGAAGAATCAGGATTGGCTGGACCCTGTGTCGAGTAAAAGAATGCATCGACACTATGCGATGCTTCAAATGCTTTAGGGGGGGGACACACG